CGCACGACGTTGAACGTGCTGCCCTAGTGCAGCGCGACAGCGATCCCCAAGTTCTTCGTCTCCTCGACGCGCGGGAAGATGATGCCCCTTTTGTTCAGCTCCCACAGCAACGTCCTCGCCGCGTGCTCGTCCGACGCCAGCACCTCGCACTTGGGCGCCGAGATCTGGCAGCCTAGTTCCTCCAGATTCTTGATCGCCGTCTCGGTCGCCGCCGCCATGCTCGCGCATATAGCTATCCTCTGCCCGTGGGCGCTAAGGATGGTGTCACAGAACATGATGTCAGTGTGGGCCCTGGGCTTCAGCTCCCACCGCATTTCTTGGTGCTCGTCTGCCATGGCGAGCATGGCGCAGTTGAGGAGGCGTCCAGCTTGCGAAGAGCCAGCCACCAGCCCCGTACTCAGGCGCACACGGAGCCCGACCGCGGCCTCGAGCTTGACTCGGCGTGGTCCTGAATAGACCGACGACGCCAAGCCCAGCAGCCGAGCAGGGTACCCAGCCAGAACTCCTCGCTCTTGAGCTGCCGCTAAGTCCACCAGCCCGTACGTTTTCTACAGGTCCAGCATGGCGGTGCAGCGCTCGTTCTGTTTCCACGTCTGGTGCTTCTTGATATTGTATGTGGCTGCGGGCTTCCCGGTATTGTATGTGGCTGTCTTTCATTGGCTTCCACTGTGGTGCCTTCGTGCTTGGTACTGGGTGTGGTTATTACGGCTGCGTATTTCAAGGCATCCTCGTCGTCTTCTTCGGAAAGCCCTCGTTGTCGTGGAGCTTTTCTGCATCTCCGTGACGCCGTGCACGGTGCGCTTGAGAGGGAGACAGCGCTGATGCAAACCAGAAGCACATCCCACCTCTTCCTCCCTTTCCCCCTCGCTCTTTCACCCTTCCTCGTCCCTTTTTTTTCCTCCCCCGTCGTCAACGGGAGGAGAAGCATTATAGCAGGATCGAGGAAGCGCAAACATGTACAGTCGGGGCGCTGAAGAAGGAACCCTTCTCGTTTGGGAGGGGCTCCGTGTTCCTTATTTTTCACAGCTTGCCTTCTGCTTTCCGTAGGTTTTCGATGGGAAATCGCAGTTGAACTTCATGGAAAAAGGGGGCCTCGTTCCTAATTTAGGGTTCCTTAGGTCAACGCCCCGACTGTATCGGAGCGCGTCGTTCCGCGACGGCTCCCGCTTCCTTGCAACATCGACGCCCTGCGTCGCCCAGTCACAGGCGGCACAGGGCTGCATGCCTCGGGGCGCACTGCCCCCCGTGCCACGGATGTCCGGCGCCCGCGCGCGCTCAAAGGCCCTCGGACGACGAACGAGCAACACACACCCATACAGTCGGGGCCCTGAAGAAGGAACCCTTTTGGTTGGGGAGGGGCTCCGCGTTCCTTAAGTGTTTCACAGCTTGCCTCAGGTTTTCCGTATGTTTTCGGTAGGAAATCGAAGTTTAACTTATGGAAAAAAGGGGCCTCGTTCCTTATTCAGGGTTCCTTAGGTCAACGCCCCGACTGTACAGGGGGGTCGTTGGGAGGAGGACTGGCTATGGGTATGGGTGCGGGCTGTCGGACCCTGGGGAGCGCTCCCGTTCGAGCGGGGACCCCCATCCGACAACACACACCCACAGCCCTCTCCGATCCCCCTATGGGTATGGGTGTGTGTTGTTGGTTCGTCACGGATGCGCAGTCCGCGCAGGCGAGTGCCTGGCAGAGGAGGCGGAGGAGGTGTAGTCGGAGGTGGATAGAGCTCCTACCCTGACACGTCGACTAAGGAATTGGCCGTCTGCGGTTTGCGAGAGGGCGTCGCGGCCGCCATTTTTGCGGGTCCAGGTCCGTCGGCTTCGGCCCCAGGCCGTCTTCGTGAAGGGGAGGTTTGCTAAAGGGAGGTCCGTCCACCGCCGATGTGGGAGAGCTGCATCCGTGTCTTTCGGTGTCTCACGCCGCTCCTGCTCTTCTGAGCATGGCGCACCCCTCTCGTCACCACCCGCCAAACCACCCCAACCCAACCCGAAGGCCTCAATTTGCCGTCCATTTCCAGTGGGGGGGGGTCCAGGCACATCGAAAAAACATATATGGAGCCCATACCCCCCCAACCCGAAATTCGGGTCTTCGGGTCGGGTTGGGGTGGTCTGGTAGGTAGTCATCTCGTGATCCCTCCCTCCCTCGCCCCTTCTTGGCGTCCTCCCTCCGTGATCCCTGCGTGGTGCCCTGGCCCCGCGCCGCTCTTCGCCGCTCGGGCCGCGCACAGGACGATGGGGGGGGAGGCGAGAGGCGGCGGCGGTGCTCGGCGGCAGCACCCGACCAGCCCCGGACAGGCGACGTTTTGACCTTCTCGGCGCGGCGTCCCCGGAAGTCCCGACCTTCCCCCCGGGGGCCGGCTTTTTACCCTGCGTCGTGTCTTTCAGGCTACAAGGTCTCAGCAATGAATCCTGAGTGGATTTTGAAACTCCCGACGGGAACGAAGAGCCCGGAGAGACGCGAGGAAACCTCGTGTGAAAATCGCAGGGGAATCGTAAATTGCCCCTGCTTCCCAAAAGCAGTTTTTGCACGGTCCCGGGGCC